GATATTTCCTTAGATTTTGAAATACTGCTAATTATTTATTTTACCATGAAGTGCTTTTTTGTTTTTGCTTATCTGTTTATATTTTTGAATAAAGTGTGCTTACCTTTTTATTGAATATATTAGTATGTTGTTTTTTATTTTGCCTTTTATACTGCACTGTACCTTTGCTGCTATGGTGGCGTCCATTTGACTTCTGATTCTGAATTTCAAACAGTTAGAGTAGGCGTTTTTTTACTGCCTTTTTTAAATTTCTAAATCCAAAAAGACAAATAAAATGATTCAGTTTGTAAATAAACAGACATAATCCTGTAAAACACAGGTTATATATAGAACTCCTGAATAAATATGCCTCTATGTCCGAATCATTTGAACCGCATTAAATCTTCTTCAGGACATTCAGCTCGAAAACATCTATTTTGCACTGTATCATTTTGTGGTTTTATGGCATAAAAAAGTCATATTCATTTGCAAAATGTATTGAAACATTTGTGGATTTTAATAAGGATTATTTCAGAAAATTAAAGGATTTATGTGTACCCTTTAAATCTTGTATTGTGTAACAAAGCTATGATTGAGACATGCCGTTCCTCTAAATGTGCGTATTACCGGTAAGTCAGTCCGTACCTCGCCCCCTTCATCAAGCAGCATGGAGAGCGGCTCCATCTGTCTGTCTGTCTGTTTGTGGGGCTCACTGTGCCTTAAAATGAGCTCCATATTAATCCAAAGGCCTTCTGCTTGTGTGCGCCTGCCAGCATAGCTCTCTTATCGCTGTACCAAAGCCTCATGCAGCGCTGAAAGGTGCTCCCCGTGCAAACAATAGCTTCCTCCTCCCAACCTCCCTGTCCGCGTCACAACTCTTTTTGTGTCTGCTTCTTTGTCTTCCCTAAATCACTGTGTCTAAACTGTCCTCCTCATGTCTTCACACTTCTATCAGCAACTTAGCATGAACATTGACAGCTTTTGGCTAATACTTTGATTTAATTTGTGGCAGAATATTTTATTAGGCATAGAATAAGAAAAGGAAATAAAAAAGAGAGGCAGGCAGACAGAGATATTAAGAAAAGGGAGTTAGGTTGGTTTAAAACAAACAGAAATAAAAGGTAAAAACAAGAGCATCACCAGGCCACTGAGTTCCACTGTTAGCCCTGGCACATCCTTATCACATATCTAAGTTTATATTCCCCGGACAACTTCACACAATGTTTGTGTATCCATGCTGGCAGAGGCAGCTCCCCTCAAAGAGAGACACGGTATTTACCTCTCACCTCCTTATCTAAGCAACAACACCATCCGAGCAGGGAGGAGGAAAGGGGGAGGAGAGGAAGGGAAGGAGAGTCAGTTGAGGCAAGGCAGCATGGCTGGAAAATGGGGATTTTATCACACAGCAAATGTGTCAAAATAAGAATTCACAGATTGTCCTCCAACATTCATTAAAACAAATGAATGACCCAGTATTTCTGTGGTAGCAAGTTATTACTGAGATGCAAAACTTGAGAATTATGAGTAAGGCTTTAAATAACTTCCTTGAATGATGAATTATTTAATGCTAGTTTTCTGCTTACGAACTCAATTGGAGCCAAAAGACATGTTTAGAAAGTTTACTTTTTGGGGTCTGATTTAGACATATTTTATTTAGAGATGGTTGGCGTTGAAAGATGCTGCAAATCAAACCAAATGTTACCTAACAATGTGTATTATATTCTGTGCACATGATGCATACAGGCTACTAAAAAGGCTTTTTCCCGAAAAGATTAGGTGACGTTGTTATGCATCATTCTAGCTCTCCTGTGTTTGATCTGAGTGAACAGGACGTGATTACATTACACTGAAGCTAGAGAGGCAATGACTGCAGACAGAACAAGATAATAGATGGGAACTGATAAAACATAAAGACACAAAACGGAAACAAACAAACAGAAAGATATAAGGCAAATGTATCCGTGACCAGACGCAGGGCAGAGAGATTCATTTGTGAGGGGCCGTCAGAGCAACTATAGAACTATAATGTAATAAAAGAGGACCAGGACCAAGAGATGCTACGTCAGCATGGGATCAGGCAGAGCAGTGGCCGCCCAAATCACACACTGCTCAGTCATGATGTACCCAGGAGAAATAACAGAAAAATACATTTCTCTGCCTGACTTTACATTTCTAAAAAGTTTGGTATTTGGAAACATTGGTTCCATTTTGGTAGGGTTTAGCAAACAATTGAATTCACAAGTTGACATTACAATTCTAAATAAACACATGTATGTTTTTTCTTTTGACGTCTATTCATTGTTTTTAAAGCCATTATCTTTGCACAGTTGCAAATAAAGTGTAGTGTTGACTAATGTTATTAGTATCATAGTGTTTGTATAGATTAAAAAAGATAGATTTAAATGTACTTTTTAGCCATAACCTCATACTAAAGTAGCCATCACCTAAACAAGTATTTATGATGGGGTTGCTCCAATAACCAGCTAAATACAAGTCATAGCGCAAGAAAAACAGGGTTCAGATCAGGCAAATCTGGGCCAAACACTGAGTCAGAGCAGAGCTCCTAGAAAGCATGACAGGCTGTCAAACACACTGTCACGTAGAGCTCCTATCTATATAAACACACAGCTTTAAATGCAGCCCACAAAGTCAAACACAGAGGTGGAAGGGAGAGGAATGACACTTCACAAACAAAACAAGTCGACGACTGAATGCAGATGAATGCGCAGTGTAAGAAAAAGTTTTCAGAGTACATTTTCCCAAATTCTTTTACGACACCGCTAACGTAAGTGAGCGGTAAGATTTTACTGCATCACACATAGGGTTGGGTATCGTTTGGATTTTAACGATTCCGGCTATGCTTTTCGATTCCGGTTCTTTTCGGTTCTCGATTCTGGTTCTTTGAGAGGGTAAAAATAAGTTCCATGACAAACTGGGAGAAAAATATATTTATGAAAACATTACGTCAAATCTGTATTCCTATCTACAAATCACTTCATACGGTTTAATTTTGTTATGGTTATTGAATACAATTATATACAAATAATTGTTTAGTTGGTTCTAAGTGGTGCAGTTTGAGAATGTACAATTGGCCCAGTCTCCTCTGATGTTACACTG